CCTTGTGCTGGGTTTATGTCGACTAACAATAATTTTTCTAATTTCATAGGCAACAAGACAGAATTACTAGAGAATCTCTTGTAGCAACTTGCAGACCTTTAAGGTAAGTAAAACACTAAAACTAGCAAAACTTTGATGATATATTAAAAAACCTACACAAAATCAGCCCCAAATTACTGGGCAGCGATATTGGACCACAGCCATTGCATAGCTGCTTAAAAGGCACTCTTCCGAACCTTCAGGTTGTTCACTCACTGCATTAGCAAGCTTTTGGTTCGCAACTAAATATTCGTTAAATCTGCTTCGGAAGAATTCATCTATCACCTTGAGCGTCCCCAGAGTGTAGAAGCACATAAAGCACAAGAACAGCAAACTGCGTAATAAAGAGAACATCCTCCAAGGGGTTTTATTGAGTTGTGAAGTCCAAATAGATGTAGTAAGCGGCGTCAAGGGCCTCCTTCACCTGCGGCCAGCACACAAGCACAAAACAAAGCAGCGTGTTGATAAAGATAAAGAGTTTGAGGTTCTCCAAACCCTCCTCAGAGCTGAGCCACCGGGAGAACGTCCGTCCTTCCACTATGTCTTGCTCCGTTTGGTTGTTTAGCTGCGATTTCCTGTTTGTTTGCTTCTTCATGACGATCAACTGGACAAACTGAAGCCCAAACGCGTTGGAGTGAACTCAATTGAATTAGTCAAAGATTTAAGCGCTTTATTAGATTGACTCCCAGTCCGGTTCGATAACATAATCTTTTTTCAAAGGCACCTTGGCCTTTTGCTTCAATGTGGCCCAGTTATGGACTTTTTTTGCGTGGCGGCCAACAAACAGTCACACCTGCAAGAGATGATGGCTGGTTGAATTGCTATCGAAACTTTGCAGCTACATTGATGGTTACCTTTGAGCTGATCGTGTGGATTTCGTTCGCAGGATATCGGCGTCGACACTTTTTCATAGCGATATTCCATATTTCGCAGATTCAACGTGGATCCACCCTCAATGCTGGTCACAGACGCACAACTTCCGTTGTAAAATTGGGCTTTCACATACTTAAAATTGGCCGAACTCACACTCTTGACCCTGAATATGTCGAGAAAGCTTGGTAGACGTTTAGGGCCTGTTTGGCTCTGAGCATCGTCAGAACGGCTCATTTTCCGCGCTTTAAGAGCCCACATGGGAATCTACTGGGGGATTTGGACACTTGATATTTTATTTGAGCGACAGGGATGTTTGCTGGTGGTAATGAAACGTAACTGCTTGATGGAATTAAGTATTTGTATATCTTTCTCGCCTCTTTGGTTCGCTCAATATTTCGTTCGGGAAACAAAAACATAACGTTCAGCTAAACAACCAGGCCAAGGAACAAACAGTTTACGATTTCGCGCACAAACAACAAAAGAAAATCAACTGGAAAAGCCCATATGGGGCATTATGGATGTTGAGGTAGCACTCGACTGGCGCCAGATTAACACCCATAATTTAGTAAAATTTTATACTCTTATTTGCCCTAATTTATTACATTATTCTCTTATAAAATAACCACTCGATATTAGTCTATTCAGGCAAAAATTTAGAATGTAATTTCATTTTTTGGTTGTGCCGTATTATAATCGATAGATCTCTGGTTGCTTGAGTGAGTCGGCCATAAAATCACTCGTACTAAATCTAAATAGCCGACTTTGAAGACAATTTATAGAACTTAAAATCGCAGATTTCATTTCTGACCATACAAGTATTTCTCTTAAAACTTGAACGTATTTTACGTTTAAGTTTAACATACCAATTTGTTGACAGATTGTGCTTCGCGTTCTCCTTAAACGTCTAATGCGCCATCGACTGTGTATCACCCTGTATAAAATAATTAGTCAGTTTTGAAAACTGAAAATGCCGAACTGCGAAAATGTGTGGTTTAATTGAAAAAAAAAACGTTCTTTGAGGCCCCGAAGGCCACTAATACAAGGGCGGATCCAGGGGGGGACCATTACCTTTCCTTGTGGTGGGTTTATGTCGACTAACGATAATTTTTCGAATTTCATAGGCAACAAAAGACTGAATTACCACTACTTGAACCTAACTCGACAGCTAGAT